GCAGGGCAGAAGGTTCGGCATAAGCAAAGGCACCAGGCTAGAGCGTGGAATGTATCTGGGTAAAGATGGAGATGCCAGTATGGCTGTAACACAAAGGGTGTGAACGAGTGCTGAGAAGGAAGGCAGGTCAAGGCTGGACTGCAGAGGGTCCTGGATGCTGAGCTCAGGACTTCAGATGCTTTCAACTCTCGCTTGTGGGCAGTGGCAACATAATGAAGGGTTTAATGAGAGGGCGTGACATGGTCAGAACTAGAAAGATCTCAGGAAGCTGAGTGAGATCAAAGGTACCAGAGGATATACAAATGGAATTGGAAAGACTGCTCCTGGGCGCTGGCTCCAGGGCAAAGGCCACCATGGTGATTACAAACCCATCAAGCTAGCTAGGCCTGCATTCCTCATTTGTGTGGTAACTTTTACGATGGTTTATCTCACAAACATTCTATATTTATTATTTAAGGGTAATGCTGCCACGTGCAACCTGTCTTCCCTTTACATTCCATGGTTTGTTTCCTTTCCTGATTAAAGTATGAGAAGTGCAGTATGCACTGTCCCCCATCAGCTATACTTTGATGTCCGCCTCCGCGCAAAGGTACCAGTGCTGGACCTTGGGTAGGACATCTATGCCTCGAAGCAGCACCCTTGGCTCTAAGAGGCTGGACATGCCAGAATCCTAATGGGATTTTCAAACACTGGTAGGCTAGGCAGGAGATCTGAGGACAAATAGCAATGCGTATTCTCCATCTCAACTGGTAAAACCTCCCCTCCCACCTCATTTATTGTGAGATGTAAGTTGTTATGGTGATCGAAGGGGTCTAAACCAAAATGGGGTGGTCAACAGCTTAATATGGACAGAGTAGGAGCCACAAAAGCCCATGAAAGGTCACCCCTATGTGTGGAGCTAGAGACCCAACACTACTCTGAAGAAGCGGGTAGGCTTGACATGGTCCCTACATCCCCCGAGATTCTGTCACCTAATGGTTCTGTTTTATGGAATTATCCACTATTCTCTGACCCTATGGAGGCCACCAAATGAGAGGGAGAATCGACACTGGTACCTAGTGACTGAGTACCACAAGTAAAGCAAGATGCAGGGAGAGCAGTAAAGAGTTTATCACCACAGTACTGGGCAGAGGAAATGGGCAGAAGAATGGGGGGCAGAGGGCAAACAGAAGAAACTTGAATCACAGCAGTATCAGTTACTGTTCACTGAGGGTTCACCAGATGCCAGGTGCTTCTCAGCCCCATGCAGGAGGTACTTAAACCTTTGTCCTCCTACCAATGAGGAAACTGAGGAACTCAACTGAACTCAAATTGAAGAACTCAAACCTAAGGTCACTAGCTGGAAAGTGGCAGAGCCAGAACCTAAGCAGTCTGAGCTGGAGCTCACTCTAAACTCTAGATACCCGGCTTTGAGAAACACATTTGGGAAGGGACGAAATGGCCTTGAGGAGAAAGTTACTTCTCCTGCAGTGAGAGGGCACTAGGGGTCAGGGAGAGAGGTTTGAGCTGCAGCCCTGCTGTTACTTAAGTGACTTTCTACTTCCCCTCTCCAAGCCTGTTTCTTCACCTGGGAAATAGAGCAGACATTTTCATACCATCTGGCCTCCAGAGCCCAGGAAAATCCCAGCAAAGACTGAAGGGGAAGTTAGGGGGTGGGGATGGGGACGGGGACATGGCCCTACTTCAAGTAGATTAACTCCACTGTGTCCTGTTGGAGATGGAGGGTTGTGTAGTTTTAATGGGGGCAGAAGGAGGTTCTGTTCTTAAAAACCTGAGAACCCCTTGGACTAGATGTCTCAGAGGCCCCTCCTATTTTAAGCATTCTTTCTCCCTAATCTTAAATGGGGTAGGGAGGTGAACGATGAGTCAAAATAACAAGCGGGTGTCTGACAGAGACACTAAGAGGCTCTAATGACGCCTACTTGCTCAACAAACAATATAAAAAGGTCAAGGTCAGATGCTACAAACTTCCCTTCAGCTCCCTTTCTTCCTCTAAAATAACTATCATGTAAGGAACACTGGAGGTTTCTAAGTTGTAAATGGAGGAGTGATGCAAATGTTTCTCCTCTGGCCTCTTTTACAGGCTTACATCTCCTATCATTACTTTATTATGTGTTCCTTATAGCTATGGTATAATATTCTTTACTTGAAAGGCAGGGCAGAATTCAAGTTTCTTCTTACACTTGGTTATCTGGAAGTCAGTCTATATTTTCCCAAAGAAATAAGCAGAGTGAAATTGGAGCAGAAGAAATAAAATTAGCCGGAGGAGAAAGAAATAGAGGAAAGATTCTCCTAAGATGGGAAGCTAGCTGTTAAGCTAACCCTTGGAAGAGAAGGAAAAGATGAAGAGGCAAAAAGACATGGATGGAGGAAGATGCAGATGATACTGACAAGGGGCGAGGGAAAAAAGACAAATATGTTTGAAAAACTAAAAATAAAATATTTCCAATGCTAAGTGACAAGTGGGAAAGAAAGGAAAGGGAGGAAGAATGGAAGGTTCTCAGTATCCTAGAGAGAGTTAGGAGGCTGCCTGCTCTCTCTAAAGTGTGATCCACAGAACACTCATTACTCGAGATGGTTCTTGGAAAACAGTGCTCCAGTCAGACAAGTTCAGGAAGCACCACGTGCTGAGTACTTATGAGGCTGTAATGGACACTAGTACACTGAGGGCTCTAAAGGAATGAGAACTGCTTCACATTGTTCAACCCAGCGTTCCTCAAATGCACTTGGCCTCAGATCTCCATTCTGGAAAGTACACTTTGAGAGAATTCCCGACTTAGGCAGTGTCTAGTGTTAGCCAGGTCAGTGGTGCTACTGGTTGGTCTACACTGGCTTGCTTAGCTTTTCCACTGGCTTGGACTGGGGCAGCCAGGAGTATATAGCAGATATAAAACATTCAGAAATCTGTTGTTTGAAAACTGAGGATTATCTATGTAAATTATGTCATAAGAATTTAAGATGGTGGCTATATTTCACTGGTCCAATATTTGTTTTGATTTTTTCTGCATCATCACTTAACTCTCTTACCCTCTTTACCCAAGTATATATTTTAATGTAACTTAGATACCATCCAGACCACAGATGTCTGTCTTCTGGTCAGGAAGATTTGTGGGAGGCCATTAGATGCCTTGATGAATGAGATCTGATAATACTGTGTCTATAGTGTATCACTCATTTACTGGTACAATAACCATCGAAGAAAAAAAGGAGATGCAGCTGGCAAGGCTTATTCTTAGTAATTCTTGCTGGCTCCTGGTGAGGGTGGCTTCTTCTTCCATTGGTTTAGTATGGGCTTCTGAATTTTGCCATAATCAACATGTGCTCACCAGCATCAGATAAGTGATCTTTGATGACACGTCTTTATACCTAAACAAATACTTATTGGCCTGCATATTTACCTCTCTTACATTTTCTTCTAAGACTGTCTTCTAAGACTGTCTAGCTGTCTTGCTCACAGATTTTTCTTAGGACCCTGATCTGTGCCTCACTTGGCCAAGAGATTCAAACAGCCCCAATGGGTGTGCCCGCCACCTGCCCTCCCATTCTAGAGCTGTCTCCTTGCAGCAGGATTGTTCTGCTCCTTTCTGCCTGGCAGACTCAGCTCACACACCTGGCCCTGCCCTATAACCTCTGCTACTTTCCTACCCAATGTTAATCTCAATCTCCAGGAGCATGCAAGGTTCCTTTCTGCCTTTAAGTCCCTATTCACTGGCCCCAGCTGAGAAGCCCATGTCTCCTGCCAGCCTTTAGAACCATTTTATATCCTGGTTCTTCCAGGCCATTGCTCTTTCCTTCCTGAGCTTCCAGGGCATTTGGCAGCCACGATCAAATCATCTACTATTTGGAGTTGTTAACAAATTTGTTCCCTGGAACGGTCCCACTTGCCATTAGTTGGGATGGACGCTTCGGGGCAGGTAGAACTCGGACTTTACACTTCTTTAGCATCTTTCTACAGCAACTGGTGCGATACTATGCATGGCAGTCCTCAGAAATGCTTGATGGACACACTGCTATTTCTAGCTTCCCTTCTGATCCAAAGGAAGGCACACAAAGTCCCTGAACTTTGATGGAAGCTGTCAACTACCAACAATTTTACTACTTCAAGCAGATCCAGAGTTTATCTTGAAATAAAATGGACATTGGGCCTTTTAGAAATGAGCATATTCTGTCTCTTCCAAGGAATTTCAGTGAAATTTGGTATATAGAGAAGTTAGATGTTATTATACCTAAGAGATTATAGTCTAAAGATACGAATTTTAGTATTCAGAATGAACTTTAAATATCAAACTTATACTCTTGGAAAAAGAATAATGCTCCTCAGACTGGAAATAAGCAAAGTTATTTCAACAATTCTGCCTCTTAGATCAATCTGATTCTCCAGGTCATGGTGCTGGAGGCTGATATGTCTTCAACATTAATTTCCTGCAGGGTAAAGCCCACCACATGAGTATCAGACACGCAGTAAGAAGGTTTCTTTTCTCAGACTCAGTCCAGTCCACATGATGCTCACTCACCCATAAATCAGACTTCCCCAGATATTTTGCTGGGGCCTGGCATTCAGGCCTGGACTAAGGGCATTGCCTCCTGTGGGTACCCCAGAAAATGCAGTCAGACTGGATAACACTGAAGTTGCCTAAAAGTCTGACATCTAAATGGGAGTTTTTATTTTTTAAAAGGGAAAATACATAGCTACTCAAAGACGGAAAATCAGTTCTGTATTTGGAGAGAATTAGGGCCATCATTTTTCTCCCAATTTTGTGGGAAGGCTACTTCCAAAAAACAAAACAAACGAATCATCAATTTCCCTTGCCTGAAAGAATAGCAATAAGCAAGCACACTGCATAGCATTTAGTTCATCTACACTGTTTAAGATAAGAAGGATATTGGGGTGTAAAATGCCAGATGTCTAGGAAATTACTTCCCTTCCCTCGCCCGCATCATTACTCACATATTTGTACACACACACATTCCCTCCCTCACTCCATCTTCCCGGACATTACCTGGTTGATAACATAGATGCCATAGTCCAACTGCTGACGTTGCAGGATTGGGTGCAAGTAATACAGCCAGTACTTTAGGTGTTCCTGCCGCTTTCGGAATGGAATAATGATGGCCACCTTGTGAGAAGAGATGCAGTCCTTGGGGGCATAGCGACCGCCCATCTTCACCTCAGGGTTCTGCTCCGCCACAAGTGTCAGGTCCACAGGCATATTAAACTCTATCGTCAAGGGGCCGGCTAGAGAGGTGGAGGGAAGGAGAAGTTAGTAGGCCATAGGACTTGCTACTTCACAAGCAGTGTCAGATGAGCAGGCTGTAAGAAACAGCTTCCAACAAATGGCAGTGTGGCCATGGAAAAGGCAGTCACGCCCAGCTCTAGGTACTATGTCCAGCAATAATGTGACCAACTATTCTGGGAAGCTTGTCAGAACCAGGCAAACCTGGATGGCTGGTCACCCTAGGAAGCACTCGCCTGTCCAGGACATAATCCCCTCAGGCTCTATGTTTCTCAATCGTTAAATAGAAATGAGGTAATTCCTACTATGACTTCCTGACAGGCTGTTCTAAGGATCAAAGAGCGTGTATAAGAAAGTACTTTCGCAATTGGTAGTTACGAAATATTCATGGGGATGTGAAGTACAGCATAGGGAATAGAGTCAATAATATTGTAAAAACTATGTATGGTGCCAGGTGGGTACTAGACTTATTGGGGGGATGATTTCATAAATTACATAAATGTCTAAACACTATGCTATACATCTGAAACTAATATAAAATAATATTGAATGTCGACTGTAACTGGGGGGAAAAAAGATGTGAAAAAAATAAAAAAAGAGAAAGTACTTTCTTAGAAATTCTGAGGTTGAGACCTAGAGTTTGGCCACCTCCCAGCTGGTGTGGCTTTGGACAGGTTCTCTCTGAACCTAGCCTAGCTGGGGAAAGGAGTGTGCGTGTGCATGTGTGTGTGTCAGGAAGGTCAGTGTTGAGAAAATCAGAAAGTGCAAGGGGTGGCGTGAGTAACCTATGTCTCATGGATTGAGGCACAGATGAAACAAACTTGATGGGGAGGAACTAGAACCCCAGAGAAGACTCAGGGGGAAAGCAAGAAAACAGTTGGAAAAATACATCAAAGAAAATGCTTACTAAAAATAAGGCATGAAATAATAAGAAAGGGCATGAAAAAAGGAAGAAAAGTCAGGGATGACTGTAAAGTTTCTGGCCCAAAAAAACATGGCTCCAGATAACAGAAATAAGTTAGAGAGCTCAGTGGCTTAGAAGAAAAATTGATGAGACCTGGAGGAGGATTCTGAGTGGTAAGTTAGGAGCGGATCAAAAGGCAGAGGGAATGGTGAGGGTAGAAGAAAGATAACTAGCCCAGGGACACGCAGGCAACTGGAGACAGAATCATGACTTGAACCCAGACCCCCAGTATTCCCTGTAGGCCAGGCTTTCTCAAAGTGGGTTCAGCAACATGCTCAATGGAAGAACATGTCCCTTGGTCAAATGAGGCTCAGAACCCTGCTTACTAAATCCTGCTTCTGAAAAGTTATGGTGTACACCAAAGGCTCTGTGGAGTGATGCAGTCAAGAAATCTCCTTCACTTTATTTAACACACCATTTCCCAAACTTCCTTGGCCACAGAACCAATTTATCAAGGGACATACTCTGGGAACTGTTACTCTAACGTAGCCAGCTTCACCTGTGAAACGAACAACTATAAAAACAAAGGAAGTTACCTACAGAACATAGGTGAGAACGCTGACCACAAGCTCTGAGCAAGTTCACCTGAAAACATTCTGGTGAAAACCACCCAAGGCACAGTGTGCAGCCCTCTGTTACCCTGTTTGTTTATCAATATGCGGCTCTCCAAGCACCCCAGTCCCCAGAGATCACTCACCCTCTGAAATGAGATAGCCCAAGAAAAGGAAGCTGTGACTCTTGCTCTTCCTGCCAGTTCGCAGACTCACCATCTCCTCTCCTCCCCTCCCCAGTCCCCCAGTACTCCTCACACCTTCCCTCCCTGCAACACTGAACCAGTTCCATCATCATGAGAACTGTTCCCATTTCTCTTCTTTTGAGACACAGCTCTGATCATCAGTTTCCTGCTAAAAACCTCCAGTGGCTCTAGGGCTATGTAGCCTTGGACAAGGTAAAAACAAACCTCTTAGCTTGGCAACAAGGCCCTTCAGTCTCGGCTCCAACTCCCTCCCCATTCTTATAAACCGTGCCTATGTTCACACTTTTCCCTTTGCCAGAAATGCTCTTCCTTTCTTTCCTCCAACAGCAAATTTTTGCATTGAGAGATAGGCCAGAATCTTAAAATCAAAGCCCCAATCTGGCCTCCTTTTCCCTTCTTCATTACTACAGAACTACATAGCAGATCCCCTGGAGCAGGAAGGGGATCCTCAGGTTCCTCCCTGGCGATTCACCTTCCTCTCTGAAAGGACAGGGCCCTCACAGATCAGTCCTTCAGGTGACTGACTTACCTGCCAACCAATTTCCAATATCCCAGGGTACCCTCAAGTGGCTAGGTGGTACACTTTAGGACTAAATAAGGGGTCACCCTTGGACTAGTTTCTCTATCAGATTCACCTGAGGCAACCTGTAAAAATTTAGAGTCTCAGGCCCCTCCCCTAGGGAGCTAGATCTTGGGAAGGTCCTAAGTGGATAATTAACAAGGATACTAGGTGATCCTGTTTGTACAAGTTGGGCAATGGAGAGCTAAACCTCCCATCTTCACAAGTCTTGGGGCTTTCAGGCAATGAGGGTCCCCTCAGGGTTTTCTACAACTCACTCCTCATGGAAGCGGCCCTTCCACACAGGGCCTGCCAGGCCTGGACTGCTTGACTCCCCAGCCCTGGGCAAAGCCTTTTGGAAGGCCCTGCAGCAGCACAGTGCACTTGTGAAAAACATAAAAGATCGTCACTGGGCTTATCTCACTTCAGAGAGCCCCACAACATCTGTAAACCCCCAGCCCCACCCCACCTTTGGTTTTCAAGATACTGCTAAACATAACCCCATTTTCGGGAACTCGAGAGGCATCTGGACTGTCACTCTACCAACCTGCTTACACCTTCTGAAACCAGCCCAGAAGACAGGAATTCACACTTGGTCTGCCTAGCCTCCTGGAGCAGACACCTGCAGGCTGGAATGCATCAGTTTTGCCCCATCGGGGAATTCCAGTCAGGTGGTCCTGAGATGAGGAGAGGATGCCTGGGCCCTAGTTCAGCTCCACCAGTGGCTTGCTGGATGATCTTTAAGGAAGTACTATCTGCTCTCAGGCTACTGGTTTCCCATTTGTAAATTACAGAGATTGGAACTCAACCTGCCCCAAATGGACTCTTACCACCTCTCCCATCAGCTCCTCCAATGGCTCCATGTAGAGCTCTATGACTGAACAGCCTCTTTTCACTCTCCTGCTCCTTTTTGCACCCCACTCACCACCCCTATCATGTCTCATTGAGAGCACCCTGAGCCCCGGATACTGCCCTCCTTGTCTAATCTGGCAATTCTTTTCTCTTCTTCTCTCTGTGAAGTCTCCACAGCTCTGAGAATCCTGAGGCTCGCACCTCTGAGAGTGGACAGTACTTGGCAGTCGGTTGCTGCAGACCTGGAGCTGAATGCCTTTTTGGGTCTAGTGGCAGCCAGGAGGCCTCCCTGAGTGCCCTCTGCACACCTCCTGCTGTGCTGCAGGGGCCATCCTCCACTGCATGCCTGGCATCTCACTGAGGAAATCCATAGAGCTGAGACTCCAAGAGGGCAGTGACTAGCTCTGCCCAGAACCTCACAGACCTGCTACCATGTCTCAGTGCCACTGCTTGCAGTCTCAGGGAGAGGGGAGAGGAGGAAACAGAGGGCTGAGGGCTGCATGACAGTCCTCAGACTAAGCCAACACTCCCTTGCTGTGAGGCGTATGGCGTGTGCTACCACAGGCCCTCAGCCCCGCTGGGCTGGCTTGTGTGTTTTCTTGGCTCTAGGAGCTGGGAAGCGGGGTTACGTAAGCAGATGAGCAGATGTGAGCCTGTCTTCCACTCCCCCAGCTAAAGCCCTGCCACGTGGGCGTCTCGGCTGGGAGTCCAGGTCACAGCCTTGCGTGTAAGTCACTCAATAACTTCAATGTGTGAGCTCCACTAAGACAAATTCCACTGCTCCCTTGCTCAGCATGGCAAACCCAAACGCACACATGCCCTTCCATCAAGCCCCCGCTAATCTAGAGCCAACCCAGCACAGACTCCCTGCCTCCCTTTCATGCTAGCTGAACCACTGTTTTAATCCTCTAACCTCAGCAAGACAGGCTGGAACATTTAGTCACTGCCTCCCAACTGGACTGACCGAATGGCCAGTGGTTCAAGACACAATCCTTAGCCAGATGCTGAGTTATGACAATGTTTCCCAATCTTGTATGTGGTTCTTCATTAGCTAAATGTAACCAACATATCACAATGCCCTTTCTTCCAAAATTAAGAAACTCTGACTTTTTAAATGTTAAAATGTCCTTTCTTTTATGAAATTATCACAGTGAATTTTGATGCTGGATTAATTTTTATTTTAATTTTCTAAAATTCCTTACTTGGCAACCATGAGTCAAGCCCCCTAGTTTCTTCTGAAACTTTCCTGGGCAGTAAATTTAAACATGTGGGAAATGTGGGAGTAGGCAGTGCCCAGAGATTTGTGGTTCTAAAAGTTGGGATGCTGGACCGTCTTCCCTGGCCAGGCCTCAGTCCTGACAGTACACAGCACAGCCCTCTTTGAGCTATCTCCTCCCCAACTACAGTGTTGTTCCCAACCACAGGCATCGTGGGTGGGCCATTATTCTCTGTACCAATCTTTCGAAAGCCAGATATGCCCTAGAAGTCGAGCCAGGCGCTACCAAATTCCCAGGCTTAGAAATCACAGCTGTTTACAGTAGTCCCACGTCTCATGGTGTCCCTTGTGGCCCCTTAGACTAGAAATGAGAAGCACTATCTACTGCACGGGGCTCATCCCTAACGTTATCACCAATCCAACGGCTGCCTGGCTTCAGCTCAAACATCTCCATCCCTAAGAATCCTTCTTGGATCACTCAAGGTTGGTTCTTACTCTTCTTCTACCTCAAGTACGCACAGCACCACGTCCACTCAAACATGCACCCAGTTAGCGTAGAACGTGTGCCAGTTGGTGCCCTGCTTGCAGCAGTGGGGCGGGATTAAGAGGAGGTCTTTGCCCTTGACAGGGGAGGGAGAACAGCTGATATGGCAC